CTGATAAATTCTAACCAAAAAAATCTTCCCAAATTTTAATTATAATTTCGTTGCCTATTGATACTAAATAGTATTCCAGTAAAAACTCTAAAAGCTTTTGAGTTTCTATTGAAATTCGTTTGAAGATATCGAATCTGCCAATGTAAAATCTAAAAATTTTGAAACTCTATTCAAGTTAATGTATATGAAAGATTTTAATAGAAATTATTTCGAGATAAAATTGCAAATATGATGGTTTTGGAAGTCTGCGATCTTTCAGAGATATTTTAAAAATAGATATTTAAAACTCGATACTTCTATTAAATTTGAATGAAAAAATTTTCATGACGTAAAACTGATAATATCTTAAATAATATTGTGATGATTGAATGAAAACAAATTACTTAAGATAAAAGATATTATTTTCTCTAAAAAATTTTTTTATATAATAAATATGATTTATTTGAACATATATTTATAATAGGATTTTATTTTCTAATTTTTTTTTGTGATATAAATTAGGAAAATCAATAATTATGTTTAAAAAGCTGATATGTCAACTTTTTTCTGATAAATGTCAATTAATATCTCTTCAACTTGATATTGATGATGATAATAATCCTCTTAATATTCATCAATGTTTTACATTATGTTCGCATTCTTCTTCAAAGTCAATTTCTAATAAAATTCAATATTGTTGTTTAACACTTCATTATTTATATGTTTGTCTTAAATATACATATTTTCTTGAACATCTTATTGAACATATACCAAATATTGAACAATTATCAGTCATTTTTTAAAATTACATGAATCTCGATCAAAGTCAGATATTGAAACATTAATAAAATCAAATGGAAATTGATTTTTGAAAAGTTAAGATAAATATTCTATCGATAATTTTTCTTGTTTGTTGAAAATGCTTTAATAACAACAAAATTCAAGATGATTTTTATAATAATACATATATTATATTTACTATTCAATTATTAATATTGTTTCAAATGTCAATCGCTCAACTAAATTCCTGTAGAATGAGTCATAAATTTACTATATCGTTCGAATCTACTCGTAAATACGTATGCATATCTCATGCAATACTATTTTAATTTAATTGAAAATATTTATCATTAACCAATTTTATTCTTCATTTCTTTCTTTTGGCTTAGTAAAAATTGTTCTCACGTTCTTTATTGCAAAAATAGTGCACTATCTATAATTCAGTTGGAAATCTAGAATAATAAAATCATGAACATAAATTCTAAATCTGTAAAACAGAAAAGGATTTTCTCATATACATGCATGACTCAAAAAAAGAGAATATCACATTAGGACTCGCTAAAAACAATAAAGATAAATACCTGAAAAGATTTTATATGAGCAAAAAAAAGAAGGATGAAAGGATACAGATGACAAAGGAGAAGGAAGCATCTATAACTTTGAAGATTATAAATTGTTTTTGACTTTTCAAATATATTCTAGATCATTCTTTTGTCTTAGTTGTTTATCTAAACTACTTTTGAATACGGATTTATCGTCATATTGCATTCGAATTATTATTATTATTATTATGCTCTGAAATAATTGAAGCATTTATTTCTAGAATGATTACTAGATCGAAAAGTCAAAAATCAGAAATTTTACATGTCAAAATTGGGGTAAAGTTAGAAAATGATTTCTATTGTATTTCTGTTTTGATTAATCCATACGCTATCGAAAAGATATCTCATAACTAAAACCGATAATAGAAATATGCGTTCATGAAGAGTTAAGTTAACGTGACAAAACTAAAAAGTAATGACTTATATTTAATTGAACAATAACTATATAGAATAAGCAATAATTGATTTAAATTAAATGTAAATTTTTATAGAAGGTAGATTTTATACAAAAAACAAGAGGATGTTATAGTGTGACTCGTTTATATATATTTTTTAATTACTTTCTTCTCTTCCAAATGTCATATAGATAACAAGTTTGAGACATAGATATCGGAGTTGACTTTTAAATATTTCAAAATCAACTAGTCACTTTTAAAAGGGTACCGAATTTTAAAATCAACTCTGATATATAAATGTGTATCTTTTGTTTTCTTTCCTATTTCTCACTTGAATATTTTTCTTCTCTTGATGTTATTCAAGAACAATATGACTTTATTTATATATATACAAATACGTATTTTTTCCATCTTGAAAAATAAAATATAAAAAGAGAAAGAGACAAATCATCAAAAGCTTTATTTACACAATAATATACTGGGTTTTTTTTTATTTCTCTAATTCATATAAAATAATGTAGTTTTTCTTTTTTTTTATTGCTAAAATAGGAAATTACTACTGATACTTAATCAATTAATTATTTTACATTTAATAACATAAAATTTCTCAAAATAAATTTTTTTTTTCATTGCTCAATTAAATACTAACGAAAAGTAATTCAATTTCGAATATATTATCTTACAACACTTACAGTTCGTTTTACAATTAAACACATTATCCAATATGCTTTTTCGACAGTGACAGATGATGAATAGTTCTTCAGCGACTACTCGAAAGTATGCTTTTCAACATATAGGATATGTCTTTTTGGCATATAGATGAGAGCAGCTCGTCATGTTTATCAATATTTCTTAATGTAGTTGTGTCAAATGAGTTACTTGAGAATTATCGTACGAAATATATTAGAAGCCTCTTTTAAAGCTCTTTCTATTCATTTTTATTAAAAATAATTGTTTCGTTCATTTACTGGTAAAATATCCCAGAACTATTTGTTCAGTAGAGTAACGACCAAAGTATCGAAATCTCGATAAATCTTCTGAAATAATATTTAATAGAACTCTTCCTAGTCAAAATATTCCACAAAGTCATTGTATAAAACTAAAATTATCTAAAATAATTATGACGTGTTTGAGATCGTGGTAATGTTGAATATCGATAATTAACAAATATATTGATAGGAAAAGTCAACCAAAAGAATGTGAACTATATTCCATAAATCGGAAAATCAGAATATCAAAAGGAAATTAGAGAAAGGAACGAAAATCGGATAGTTTCTTGGATTTTCAGATATCTGACAATCCTATTTATTCTTGACAATGACAAGAAAATTATAGAATATAGGTGTGAATCTACTTGAATCAATAACCATAGATACAACTGATTGGTTGAAAGCTTTTCCTATCGATCAATCAGATACAAGAAATCTATTTCTTCCTTATCATAGTCTCGTTTGGATCAAACTGGAAATTTACCAGGCTTCTCTTTCATATGATTCGAATAACACTATGCTTTGTCCATACAATAGCAGAAAAATAAGTTAAAACTTGTCCATTTCTTCTTCTTAATGATTGTTTTGATTGCAGTTAGCTTATTTTGCTCTAGTATAGAATATTTTTAGTTTTTCGAAAACTAGACTTTTGTTTCGTTTAATTGAAAAAAACAGAATTGAAATAGTATGGTATTCACTCATAACTATTCCAAGACTAATTTCAAATGTATGTGAGCATCTCAATACCTTCATCATTCGTAGATGTTGAAATAATACTACTTTATCTCAGCTACACTTTCTCACATTTAGAAAATAGGAAGAAAAGTAAAAGAAATCTAATTTCGACAATTAATAATATTTAATTTTATTAGAATTAATTTATTCAAAAGTAAATTTTATTCTTTCTTATTTTGTTTTTTTGTATTGATTCTAAGTACCAAAACTGAAGTATTTTTCTTTAAAAGTTTTCGTTCAAAATGATTTTGAATTTGTTTATTTGAAATGGATTCTCAACAATTTAAATCATATTGAAAAAGGACAAGTGGCGGTAAGGCCACTTTTTTGCCCACGATATTTTTTAAAAAGAATTACATATTCGGAATCAGCATTAAATTCTGAGTAAAATGAGGTACTTTTTGCTGTCGAAAAACGACTTTCATTTTTCACGCTTCATTGGGCACCTGTAGGGGACCTCAGGACCATCGAAAATTTTTTTTTTTGGAAACCGTATTGAATTGAGCATCATCTGATGCGGAATTTAATGCTGATTCCGAATATCAAATTAAAATTTAAAAAAAAATAGAATTTTGATATAAAAGCATCCAATTTAT